GGTCTCTTCCAACTCTATGATTCTATGATTCTATGATTCTACTGTCTATACAGAGCTACATGACCTATTTCTCCACTTCGTTTTCAAAGAACTAGCTCATTTGAGCTACGTGTGCAAGATCTGAACTATTGTCAGTTGCAGTCACTCAGGAAATTGTAACTTGAAAGTCATGAACAAAAGGATATGCTGAAATATTCAAATTCTAACTCAAAATATTGTGTGCTTCATTTTCTGCTTTAATTTATTTGTAGTGATACATTCTTATTAGTTAAATTAGGGAATTAGCACTTCTTAGCAAACTGTAAATTAGGGATTTCAGAGTGAGATTGGGGTAGGCAATTAATTCTGTGCAGCACATCAGAATAAATCTGTTTACATTCTGAAGTACTCAGCTGCAAACCCCTGAAGTCAGCAGTCCACATTTACTTACTGCATATTGTTTCTGAAATATCACCTAACAAAATGGTAGTGATGAGATTTGTGCCCAACCAGCTGAAAGGAGTGCAACTGAAGATGGATGACATGAGCCCCTATAGAATTTGAGAATCTGCAGTCTCATGAACCATTCTATGGGCTCTCAAAGCTCATTTCAGCTTCTCAGCCTTTTTGCTGATGTGAATAAATCCACATATTTTCCACAGTGTTAAAACCAAGAGTTAAGGAGAAACTTTTTCACTTTATTACATTTCGATATTGTTCAGAACAAAGTTGAATTCATTGGGGATTGCTCTAATGTAAATGGTTAAAGGAGTGCAATTCAAGTTAGTATTATGGGTGGGATCCAACTGGCATTCCTCTAATGCAGAGGTAGGCAACCTTTTTGAGCCGGGGGCCGGGTTGCTGTCCCTCAGACAATTGGGGGGCTGAAGCACAATATATAAATAAATAAATAAATAAATAAATAAATAAATAAATAAATATTTTTTTTTAAAAAATTAAAAAATATATATTCATGCACACTGTCTCAGCCCCAGAAAAGCCATGACAAAACCCCTGTGGAGATTTTGCCAAGAAAAACCTCAGAACAAGTAATAACAACAATAATCAATATCATCATGGTGGGTGGCGGTGGCGACAGCAGCAGCGGCAGGACCAGCCTGGGGCCTACCACTGCTCTAATGGAAGGGGCAAGTGTTATTCAAAGTAGTAGGGGTCCATAATGGCTAATGGAATTGCTTCAATTTCCCTTTCACTATGCATCCCCAGTATTCATTCAAAACTTACTTCAGAAAGGTTTAGGAACTCTAAAGGTTTAGGCACAGGTGTTCAAGTTGTCAATAGAACTGTAGAGGTGAGAGCTGCAGAGGAGAGGTCCCATGATATTAGCAACTCTCTGCTAAGTATGATCTTGCACTTAGTGTGCTTTGTCTGTTATGCTTGTCTGAGGCTGCATCTACACAGCAGAATTAATGCAGTTTGACACTATTTTAACTGCCATATCCCAATGATACAGAATTCTGGGATTTATAGTTTTAAGTGGTATTTCATCTCTGTCAGAGAATGCTGGTGGCACAATATACTACAAATCCAGGATTCCATAGGATGGAGCCATGGCAGTTATCAAAAATATCAAATGGTGTGGCAGTAACCATATTTCTAGTAGTCTAAGACCCATAGTTGTTCACACAGTATTGTATTTATGAATTATCTCTTCTTTTGATGAACACTATATCAAACTTTTAAATCGCAATTTCATTAATAGATATGACCACTTTCCTAGACTATAACAAAATGTAATTGTTTAGTAGTACACAGACTTCACAATGTGTGTTCCTTGGCTATATTTTTTTTGAAAGAAAACCTGTATAGGTTATCTGAGGTTTAGGGAGGTTGAGGATAAGGAGATGATTCAGAGTTCTGTCTAGGTTTTGTTTTCATAGATAGGAATCTAGTAACAACGCAACAGTCCTTATTGTGAAATACTGCAGCTTTGCCTAGTTTAAGAAAAGTGAGATTGTAACTTGCTGCAAAGCGTAGTTTTCCAAGAACTTTGAAATGCACACACAGTTTTTTAGATGGCCATCAACTAAGGACCATGTTTTTTAGATGGCCATCAACTAAGGACCATGGCAGTGGTGGTTGGAGCAACATACAGAGAAAGAGAAAGGAATTTTCATTCATAATGGCTCCAATGCATTGTATATTGCCAACAAAAATAGTTCAGGAGGTGACATTCACCAATTCTGGAGAGCTAAGGGAATACCTGGGACAATGTGAGAGGTAGCCAGGGGGACCACAGAGAAAAGAAACTCTGAAAGTCACTTCTGCTGGTAAGAGCTTCCAAGGGGTCAGAGCCTATGCTTCTTGACTCTTTGCCATGGAATTCATGAATTTGTGATCTTAATGGGCTAAGAGAGCACTAATCAAAATAAAGGTGAGATCTTTAATAGTTCAAATATTGATTTAGGGCTAGGTTCAATTGCCATGGAAGTCAACAGGAGTACAAATCATATCGATTCAGTTCAATTTAAGTGAAAGTTTGCTAGCATGACAAGCTATAAAAGTGCTGTCAACACTTATGAAGAGGAAATAGATCCCTCAAAACATTTAAAAGAGGTCAGTAAGCCCTGTCCAGGATATATGGTCTGAGGTTGAAACACTTGCATCTGTTTTAGTAGCATTCTACTGCAACGTACATTTACTACACATCACAGTGCTGCCATTTTACCACTGGAAGCTGATCAACCTTTTAATTTTACCTTTTTAACTCACTTGAAATGCATCCTGAGTTTCTGCTATAGTGGCAAACAAGTTTTACTCAGCAAATTAAGCATACCACAAACACAGTAATGGCAAACAAATAAAATGATATGGCTTGCCCAATTTATCCCTCAGCCATAATGGAATGCACATTAAAGATTCATTGTGTCAAGGCATTTCAAAAGGAGGAAAAATAAATAGTTTATGCTATTGTTGTTGTTTTAAAAAAATATACAATATGAGTCTCTTCCAAATTAGTCAGACATTTGGTTATGTTACTGTTGGTTAAAAGCGACACAATGAATTAGCAGCCCAGGCTGTTACTGGTACAGATTGAATGGGCAGGAGAAATAAATACACATGATAGGTTTTTGGACCACAGAAATGGTAATGTGCCATGAAACCCTAGGCTCCTGCATGTGCCATATGTATGCTCAGTGTATGGTACCATGTTTAAGAACAAAGACTTGACAGCATGCAATCTGAATTAACATATGTGTCTACAATCTGACATATATTTTCTCACACGGCATAGCTGTTTAAATAGTTTTTAAAAGTGTGTGAATGATGGTGATGTGTGTGTGTATGGTGGGGGAGACAGCATGTGCTATGTCTTAGATGAGAAAGATCACAGTGTTCATCACTTGCAACAGGAAAACATGCATAACTGATATGTAATAAACCCTGGTGCAGGTGATAATTGCAGGAATGATAGGAGGCTCAAAATCCATTTTAGAGAGGATTATTGGTTCACAGTAATAAAACTGCATTATGTGGGATTGGGGTTAAGTGCCTAACCCCTATAGTAAATTACCACCCTAGTACGTATTTTATGGATTTATTTATTATTTAATATTTTATACAGATTAAGTCTTCCTTATCCAAAATGTTTAGGACCAGAAGTGTTTTGGATTTTTGAGTTTTTTGGATTTTGGAATATTTGCATATACATAATGAGATATCTTAGAGATGGGACCCAAGCCTAACATAAAATTTACAGTCCATCCTTGGTATCTGCAGACTGGCAATCCATGGATTTGACAATCCACAGATGGCAAACCTGTGTTGAGGCAGTGCTGGTGGAGGAGGAAGAGGAGCAGGAAGCAGGAGGAAGAGGGAGGAGGAGGAGGAGGAGAAGGAAGAAGCAGTGGCAGCAGTGGTCCCATGCTGCCAGCCACCCACCTGCTGGTGAGCCCTGGGAAAGAAGAAGGGAGGAAGGAAGAAGAAGGAGATGGAAGAGGAAGTGGTAGTGGCAGTCCCATGCCTTCACCTATCCACCCACTACCAGTGAGAGCTGGGAAGGAGGAAGAAGAGCAGAAGCAGTGGTGGCATTCCTCTGCTGTCTGCCCACTGCAGGTGAGGGAGGAAGAAAGGCATCCCTATGCGAGGGCCAGTGAAATCCCATGGTTACACCTCCATTGGAGATAATGGGACTTGAGCATCCATGGATTTTGGTATTCATGGGGGGACAAAATGGATCCCCCTATGGATACTGGGGGCTCACTGTATTTATGTTTCTTATACACCTTATAGTCATAGCCTGAAGGTAATTTTATACACAATATTTTGATAATTTTGTGAATGAAACAAAATTTGTGTACATTGAATCATCAGAAAGCAAAGGTATCATTATTTCAGCCAACCATGTGGACAATTTTAGATTTTGGAATATTCTTATGCTGAGAGTGTGATTTATCCAAAATCACCCAGTGGGTTTCCATGACTGAACAGGGATTTGAACCCTGGTTTCCAGAGTCCTAGTCCAACACTCAAACCATTACACCATGCTGGTTATTGTATTCTATATAATATTCTATACTATTTTATCTATTTAACAATTACTAAAAAGTAATGATTTAAAGAATTAGTGTACAAAAAACTAGAAATAGTTAAAGGAATATCTGTCCAAAGTTAACTATGGATTCATCCAGACTATGGGAGTATTACTATAAATGGTTAAAACGTGCAGCATGTCAGAAAAAGAAGTGGAAATGCTCACCCAGCAGTATAAATATGTTTTAAAAGACAGGTATTCAAATTCAGACTTCAAACCTCTCTGCTGAATCTCATCAATCTTACACTGAAATGTCAGTTTGCTTTTTGCTTCATCATTTTTTAAAAATGTCAAGTTATTTCCATTTATTGCAGATACTGTCCATTTTTGAACCCAAAGGTGGATTAGAAAATATGGTTCTGTATGCAACACCTAATCACAGCACACAACCATCTATAAAATGATGGCATGTTTCAAGTGATAGGATGCCATCATGGGACTATAGCTCTCTGGACTCACTCTCAGGGTCTGTCTGTACTACAAAATTATATCAGATTGATTTCACTTTCATTGTCATGCCCCCAAACTTTAGAATGTGCTTTTCTAGAGCGCTCTAGTGTGACAGTTCAGGGAAGTGGACTAGAATCTCTATAGCAAAGAATTCTAAATAGCTCAACACCTACAAATGTCAAGCTATGTGATATAGTGCAGTATAGTGCAGAAACTGAGACAGTATGAAGCTGATATAATAGTGTATATAATAGTGTAATGCAGATCCACTCTTAGAGTTCATGGGGGAGGAGTCTGGTGATGGAAGGCAATGGGTTACTTTGCACATGAAAGGAGCACTGCACATAACTGTGTGCTCTCACTTGACAGAACATGGGAATATTGAACTAACTTTGGGATTTAAGAAGTACACCCAACCCTACTGCACTGCAGCAACTGGGGTGCCTTGTTAAAACAACCAACACAATAAGCAAAGGAAGGCACAACATCTAGCTGTTGCAGCCATTTCCCCATCTCCTTTGTTCTATGTCTTGTCTGAACTGTATTGTTCCACTGCTCTCCTATGTCTCTATCACCATCTCAACAGCAGAGATCAGTATCTCAAATACACATGAGAAGATGTTTTGAAATTTTGTATCAGAAAAAATGGGTGCTTTAGGGCTTCTTGCCCAAGACTCTGAAATAACCTCCTCCTCCTCCTCCTCCTCCTCCTCCTTTGCTTAACACAGGGGTAGGCAACCTTTCCCCTTTAAGAGCCGAGGGACTTCAGCTCCCAGAATCCCAGGAGCTATTGGCCAACATGGGACTATTGGCCAACATGGCTGAGGCTTCTGGTAACTGAAGTCCCTTGGCCCTTAAAGGGGAAAGGTTGCCTACCCCTGGCTTAACATGTGGATGTGGGGTGGATAGGACAGGAAGGTTTAAGCTGGTCATTTCCTCTGGGCTGCTCAGCTGAGTAGTGAATAAACTGAAAGCTGAAAGGTTGGAGAAAGATGTGTGTGTGATACAGAGAAAGCATGTGTGAAAGTGTGGAAATGGGATGTACATGTGCATATGTGAATGCACACATGTACACATGTACATATTTGTGAATCATGTGGGGGAACTGGGATGTTTATACAGGCCATAAGTGTAGGACAGGGGTAGGCAACCTTTCCCCTTTAAGGGCCGAGGGACTTCAGCTCCCAGAAGCCTCAGCCATGTCGGCCAATAGTCCCATGTTGGGCAATAGCTCCTGGGATTCTGGGAGCTGAAGTCCCTCAGCCCTTAAAGGGGAAAGGTTGCCTACCCCTGGTGTAGGATATGTGTATATGTTTGTGAATAGGATTGCAGACTTTTGGCTTTGGCTTCACCTGTAGCCAGGAAGTGGTTCTTCCCAGATCATCCCCTCCTTCCCAGGAAAGTGGTTCATACACAAAAAAAAGTTTGTGTCGCTACCCCAATTGACCATAGGGCAACCCACCTGAGGACAACAGCACCCTCTCACTCTGGTTGCCATGCGATTCAGACACAACACAGCTTCTGAATTAAGAGTGTGTTCCAGGGCCCAGGACTCCACTAATTTTAGTTTGGCTTACATGGCTCATGCAAAGTATAAGCAGAGATCCCAGAAAGATGGAAGAATTTCCCTTGTCTTTCATACTGGCATCCTGGACAGCAATACATTGTTTCTGTTTTCAGCAGCAGAACAAGAAGTTACACCTATCCTTTCCCCTATCCTTCTCTATGAATCAGAAAAGTTCTGGGAAATAAGAGTGATCTTCCCCCACCCCCTTTCCTGTGAGGCATCTCAAGCAGGCAAAATATTTAAAGACAAATTAAGTAATTATAAGAGCAGAAGGATGTTTGGTTATGACAACACCTTTTTTTTTTTGGAGGCTAACACACTTGTCTTGTCATATATTAAACAAGTCTGCTTCTGAGATGAATATAAATGCTACAGGTTTGGTACCTGGAAAGGAGATCAGCATAGCATGATGATCATGTTAATCTAATCTAATCTAATCTAATCTAATCTAATCTAATCTAATCCAAGCACAGAGATTTGAGATATACTGATTTATAATTGTTGGTAAAAGAAAAATATTTTCTATACTTGGTGGAGGGGGGGAAGTAACATAACATAGACTTAAATTGATGAATAATCACATAGTGGTATATTGTCATTCATTCACTAAATTAATTTATTACATCAATTATATTGTCAGGAGAATATCTAAACATGGGTGAAAACAATTTTACAAAATGAAGACAAATATTCAAATACAAAAGGCCAGTGGCAACTGACACATTTAAATCAGATGCTTCAAACATAATTCTCAAACTGGACAGTGTCACTTAGGAAAGGATTGGGTGGTGAACTGAGTTTTACAGAGGGATCTAAAATACTCCACAGTTGGTGCCTCCCCAAAATACTTGGAGGATGACTTTCCATAAGACACAGCGACAGCTGGTGGCTCCCCTGTCACTGGGGCCATGAAGCCAACCCAGGTCTTAATCCAGGTTTTAAAAACTAGTGAAAACTTGGACTGGATTCATCACCTTGTTTACAAAGAGCCACCTGTCACTACTGATAAGGTGGATGCCATGAAGGAGAATGCTTGTTTTTAGGCTTCTACTAAATAATAAATCTACAGGTCACAAACCAAGCAGTGGGGATCTTTTATCATGATCTTAAGAACCCCACAAGCCTATCTAAAGGACCAGTCATCTGCCACATAGCCTGTTCTGAAGTTTTCCAAGATCTGAAACTTGTTTTGGAACCTAGAAAAGTGAAGATCTTCAACAGCAGTGTAATTTGCAAATAGTCTGTGCCTCACTCACAATGAAATTGACAGAAAAGTACACTGCTGTCTTGGATATACAAATTTGAAAACATAATGTGTGAAACGGCTCATCAGGTCAAGAGAGGAGAATCTTTTGTGCCCCCCACACCCATTAATTTTTTTAAAAGGAAAAGAAAAGAAAAGAGGTTGATAATAGAGTGATACCCCCTTTCTTACAGGCACATGGATTAAGGATTTACACACTCATGGATTAAGCAGGGATGGAACTGTCTTTCCTACAGTCCAGAATCAGTTTTCTGGAGTGAGAGTGACCCCCTCCCTTACACACACACACACACATGCATGCATGCACACTTGGATTAAGACATCCCAAGATCCTAAACCATGGGTGGGTAACCTCACACCAGGGATGAAATTTGCCTTTCCTATAGTCCAGAATCAGCCTTCTGGAATTTCCTACATGGCCATGCCACTTCCCTCATGATATTATAATTTGGTGGTCTCCCAGCACAATTTGTTCCCATTCTAAGAGAATGAAATGCCCCTCCTAAAGCTTAGTTGATAACAGTGAGAGCTTTTAGCTAAAGTATGCTGGCCGTTTTGGTCCCATCTCTAACAGCCTTGGCAGACGACTAATAAAGTAGTCTCCGAGGCAAGGAAGAAGAGGGGCAGCCACACGAGCGGCACCCCTTCCTCCTCCCAAGGTTGCCCTCGGAGCTGCCGGCCCTCCACATGGCCGGCGCTCCGGGGGCAACCTCCTGCTGCAGCGTCCTCACACGCTGCAGCGGAAAAGCCAGGGAAAGTGCGCCCTACGCATTTCGGGCACACTTTCTCTGACTTCTGAAAGGAGCGCTATTTTTGCACTCCTTTCATGGACGCCGCCGGTGCGCTGCGGTGCGGAGGCTGCAGTCCCGCGGCGCACCGTCCCAGGGCATCTCGGACGCCCTGGTCTGCTTCCCCCCATAGTCTCATGGGTATAGGCTCCAACTACTGTTCTGAAATTGAATTGAGTTGCCAGTCTGAAAGAGATTTCCCTCTCCCCTACCATAATTATGTCTAGTTTAAGAAGCAATACAGATTTACCACCTACTACATCAATCACTTTCATAATAATGTATTTGTATTTTTTTTGACATGTGTCAAAATCAAAGTTTGTTGTTATTTATTGACAGGTCCTTTATAATCTGAAGCTCTAAAATCTAACATGCTCAGTTGAACTGTTTTTGTTGTTGTTATGTGCCTTCAAGTTGTTCAAGTCAACTTATAGCATCCCTAAATACCCTGAAGGCACCAGATCCTGTCATATCTCAAAGGCTAAGCAGGATCAGGCAATATTAGTAATTGGAATACTTCTGAGGAATACCAGGTGCTGTGGGCTATATTTCAGAGTTAGAGACAAACCACTTCAGAGTATTCATCACTTCAGAAAACCTTATGAAATTCAGAATGTTGTCATAGGTTGAATGACAACTTGAAGGCACACACACACTTTAGCCATATAGCATATTGTGGCTAAGAACTGATATGAGTTGTCTAAAAAGCACAACTGCTGTGGGTGAATAGTTTGGATTTGTATCACCACTAGAAAGTCATTTGGGCAACATAGGGGGGAAGCACACGAGGGCGTCCGAGACGCCGGGGGATGGTGCGCCGCAGGACCGCGGCATCCACACCACGGCGCACCGTCGGCTAAATCAGTGCTCCTTTCAGAAGTCAGTGAAA